CAAAATTATATAAGTGGTCCTGCATATTTGAAGTTTTGACAATATGTGTGCACGTATTCATAATAAATACTTTATAAAATCTATTATTTTATTTGCTGCATAGCTAAACACTTCCTAAACAACTGATCTTATTCAAGCTTCTGTTATGTTTTCATTCCAGTTTACTTTTCATACAATAAATGAAGAAGTAGATCAAACCTACTGTACCTGATAAAATGATGGCTCTTTGTCCCTTGAATATAATAGGACATGTTAAGAAATATAATGCCTGAGATATGTCGTCTCCTTTCTCAGATTCCTTGGGGGAAAAATAAGTCTAAGCTTCGCTAGGATAGTTGGGAATTACCAAGGCTTTTAGAATCTCACTCGGGGCTTTTCATGCTCCTGAGAATCCGTCTCTGGCTGGTCTGCATAGCACTATCAAATGCTTCAAGTAAGAGGCCACTTTCCTTCTTAGAGGGAAGGACAATCCTGAGGACAGATACATCCAAACTGAAAAGGCCACACACATTGTTCAGTGAGTGAAGAGTTTCAGAGATAAGTAATACCAAGTACCATCTTAACCTTGAGACTGTCCATTCAAGTAAATTGGTACAAAAATAACCAAATTATATTAAAATTAAGATTTTAAAATTTCACAACAGAAAAATAACAATAATAACTAGTTTCCCAGGGGGTAAAGGGACCAACACAAATGGATAATGTTGAGTTAAGATGAGTGTGTTGTGAGGACTAAATTATTTGGGAGAATTTTGTGTTTCATAAGTTTAAAGTATTAGTACATTTTATCTGGGTTTTATAATGTAATAGTTATTGTATTCATCAACAATTTATTTAGAGTATTTGTTAATGTACTATGTGCATATTATGTTGTAAAAGCTGAATTTGTAAACCTAAAGATTCTTTTGATAGCTTTCTCCTGAGTCCTGAAACCATTATCTCATGAATATAATTTGCAAGCATGCATTAGATTTGAATAAATCAACATGCTCTGTGTTTGAATGCTTATAGAGAACACCCTATGCTTTTGTAAAGTGTAGAGTTTTTTTTCTCCCCCCATTAAGAAAAATAGCTTTTCCCAATCTAAATACTAAACTTAAGCCTACTAGTGATATTTGTCATCTTCTTTACAAATTCCAGTATAATCTAGTGGGGGATTATATTTTGTGAGCATGACCATTCAAAAGCAAATTAAAATATTCAAAAATACACAAAATTCATCTTCATGAAGACACTTCTGCTCTTGCTTTGAGGCTTGTTGATATTCAACTGCAAACCTCAATGAATAATATTATATGACTATGTTTTTTTAGGGTCTCTTTAAACTCACTGCAATTTTGTAATTCTGTGTGCCTTTCCCCAACTGAAGCTTCTTCATAATTTTTGTTAAATTTTAATGTATTAGTGAAGATTTACTTATAATCTAAAATTAAATAGAGTGATCCAGATATAGATATAAATTTGATATATACCTCTGAATCAGATATTTTATAAGCTCTGTTTTTCAATTGTTAGGATTATTTTTTGTCTTATGTTTAATTAATTATTCTAAATACCCATTAATAGTTATGATTCACATATTTTAACAATAAGAAATGTTGTTCTCAGAAACGTCAGGTGGCCCTTTGGGCTGTACAAACATGAGGTGATGAAGCTAATATTTAAACTGTAATAATAGTAATCTTCCATAAGACTTGCTCTTTTCCACTTATGTTTGAATTTCTCATTCAGTGCTTAGAACCTTACCTGATACAGAAATTCATATAAGGAGGTATAACATAACATAATATGCATATTATAACATAAACATATAAAAGAAGCAGGAGAAATAGAAAAGAAAGGGAAGACAAGAAAGAAGGAAGGAGTTGCTTGAAACTAAAGTTACGGTAAAGTAAGAAGCTTTGTGCCAATAACTAAGGTGCATGCATAGAAGATGTATATATATATGAAGGAGTGGGTTTATATACATGCTTATGTACAAATATGAGATATTTTAATAACATTATTTAGTCTAGAGCTTTAACCTCATCCATGGAGGTGGGTCTCACTGAAAGGAATATGTATAATATTCTTTTTAAAATTTAAGGCTGTAAATATACACACATATATAAAACATTCAGTACCTAAATGTTAACAAACACAATAGTTTATTTTTTCATAGAAATTCAAGTACCAGGATCTAGTAAATGTGTTTCAACTTCACCACTAGATATGGAGATGGGCCAGACATGAAGTACTCTTAATTATTGTTTCTAAAAAACTTTTTTCCTTGTTTTTCTTCCTCTGTATCTACTTCTGTCTTTATAGCTTCTGCTCTTTTTTAAAATCCAACAAATATTTAACCTACCATTAGTTACCAGGAACTTGATAAAATATATGACTTTACATTTTCACAATGCTCTCAAAAGTACAGATAATACATAATACATGCAAAGTTCAGTTATAAATATGCAGAACCTCAGTTATATATAGAATTTCTTTCATATACTATTATTTTATACTATGAATTTCAATAAATCATATATGTATGTAGCTTATGAAATTCTATACTACTTAAATTTAGTTTATGAAATTTTGGACTATAAAAACTATGAGATTTTATTGTTTTACAGAAATAATTTTGTTGTTCTTAATGATTCATTGTGATTTCTAGTGAAATTAATGTGGGATCTTATTTTATAATTTCCATAATTCACTTATGTTTATATTTGTATTGAATTGAGTACTGTGGAAGCTCAGATACAAATGGGAATTAATTGACTTTTGTTCTATTAATAGAATAAATCCTCACAACCACATTTACATAGAGTATCATTATTACAAATTTATTTAAAAGATAAGTAGGATTCAAAAAAATCAAGTAACTTATTTCAGTCATTTTTACCTAAGGTAGGAATCATGTCTTTACACAAAAGTAGTTTGTCATAATATGTACAATGCCTAACATTTTTGTGAAAAAAAAATCTCAGGGTAATAAAAAAATTATGATTTCAAATACCTGAAGGCTAAATGATAGGGAAGAAAGATGATCAAACATAGAATAATGAAAAGGTACCAAAAATATTCAGAAGACTATTAATTCTAGGTCAAAGGATCAGAGAATATTGTCTGGAGCAGATAAAATCTGTGATTAATGAAAGGTTAGTTAAAGACTGATCAGGAATTCACTAGCTATGAAAGATGGAGGGAGAATCCAACAATTGAGTCAGAGTATTTGGCTTGAGCAAACATGTAAAAACATAAACTAATAAAATCTAAGGATGGAGCTCTGATATGTACTCACAACAATTGTATGGATATTTTAGACAGATACCAGAAAAAAAAGATCAGAGTTAATTTTAAAGCAATGATGATAAAAATGAAAAATAATTGATTGATTTATTAGTAATTCTCTCTGCTTAAATAGTATTTATGCTTTTCATTAGAAGCCTAGGGAATGTACACAATAGCATTCCCATTTTATAAATGAGGAAATAGGCCCAGAGAGAAAACTTAACCAAAGAAAAATTACAAGTAAGAAGTAGGGTCCTAATTCAATACCAGATATTCTGGTTTCTGATCCTGTGATCCCTAGAACTACAAAAATAAACAGGCATTAATTGAATAGTTAGCTCATCGATCATATTTCTGGAGTAAACACAAGAGAAAGTTGTAAGATTTGAGAAAGATTAAATTGTCCCATATGCTTAAGGCATATATTTGAATTTCCCATGAATCATTTGGGCTATGATGTCCATGGCTCAGCAAAATAATATATATATTCAGAAAAGGTAACCTGGATTGAGTATGAGAGTAAGTGTGTTAACTGAAGACTTGAGAGAACTCAAATTGCCCAGAAGATAACCAGTAGAGAAGAAGCTAACCAACGAGAAATATAGAATTTTATGCTTTTTGTTCAAAGACAGCTTTGCATTTGTAGGACAGAGGGATGCATGTAGGGATTTAGGGTTCTTTGAAATGGAGAAAAAAATTACAAGATAATATTTAAACAACAATATCAGTGAGGTCATGAAGCTCTTTATGATATGTGAACAATCTATATCAGAGTCAAATACAGGAGGGTGAAAAATACTAGTGTCTGGGGCTCAGCCCTGACATATGAATTTCTGGTAATGGGAGTCAAGTTATTTCACACACCCAATGTATTCCTTTATGAATAAATTGAAAGGCAGAAATTTAGGAAAATTTCCAAAAAAATATACTTTGATGAATATGGATTTATTATTATTAAGAAGCCATTCTTCAGACAAAGAAATATTTATTTTTAGTCAGTTTTATTGATTTATTACTTACATAAAATAAAATTCACCAATTTTAACAGCAAAATTTGATGAGATTTTTAAATGTGTAAGTCATGGAAATAATCACGATGGTATGGAACATTTTCATCTTTCTAAAATGTCTGTGCATTTCCCTTTGTAATCAAACACTTTACCCTTTATTTACTTATGTTACTGAGATCACATAGCATTTGGTGTTTTGTATTTGTCTTCTTTAGCATAGCATAAGTGATCAAGTCCTGCTGTTGCAACCATAAGTAATTTCTTCCTTTTGAAATTTAAATTATAGGATCTGCCACAGTCTATCCATTCAATAATGAATATATATTTGATTTCCTTTCAGTTCTTTGCTACATACAACCTTAAGTAAAGTTTCTAGGAATAATTTTGTATAAGTCTTTATGTTGATAAGTGTTTTCCTTTCCCTTGGGTAAATTCCTAAGTGTGGAATCAGTGGGTAATATTACCTGAATGATAAATCCATACTTAGAAACTGCTAAATTTTTTCCAAAGAGGCTTGTATGATTTTGCACCCCATTAGCAATATATGAGAATTCCAGTTGTCTTACATCCTCACTCACAAAATTTGGCTTTCGTTTTTTTAGTTCTCCCTATCTTATAATTTCATATAAATATATATTTATATATATTTTACTTCCAATTTGTTTTTCCACTTCCTTGACACTGGATCTCTCTTTTGTAGGTTTGCAAGAATCCTGGACTGCAGTCCTACCTACATCTCACCATGCTGGATTTTAATAACACGTCTAATTGGCCCACTTTTTTCTTCATTGGTATTCCTGGTCTGGAGGCTGCACATATGTGGATCTCCATTCCTTTCTGTTTCCTGTACCTGGTGGCTCTTGTGGGTAATGTCCTTCTCCTGGTTATAGTTAGAACAGAACAGAATCTTCATGAACCACAGTTCTATCTTTTAGCCATGCTAGCCCTCACGGACCTGGGCCTTTCCTTGACAACAATGCCAAGTGTCTTGGCTATCTTCTGGTTTGATGTCCACCACATTGATCTGGATGCCTGCCTGACTCAAATGTTCTTCATCCACACCCTCTCCTCTGTAGAATCTGGTGTCCTGGTGGCCATGGCTTTTGACCGCTTGGTGGCTATCTGTGCCCCGCTGAATTACACCAGGATCTTGACGCACTACACTGTTGCCTGCCTTAGTGGAGCTGCCCTCATACGGGGTGCCACTCTGCTGGCCCCTCTGCCTTTTTTCCTGAGGACCTTTTCTTTCTGTGGGGCCAATATCCTCTCACACTCTTATTGCTACTATCCAGATATGCTGAAACTGGCCTGCGGGGATGTTACTTTCAGCAGTGTCTATGGGTTGGTCTGTGTGCTCTGCACCTTTGCAGTGGATGTTATCTTCATCCTTGTTTCATACATGAAAATCTTGAGCACTGTTATGAAACTGGGAATCCAAGACAGAAACTGGAAATCACTGCAAACCTGTGCCTGCCACCTGTGCACAGTGCTTGTGTTCTATTTGCCTCTCATCAGCCTTGCAGTACTGCATCGTTACACCCAGGAAACATCCCCAATTCTGTACACCACCATGAGCAATGCCTACCTCCTCATGACACCACTGCTAAACCCTGTCGTCTACAGTCTCAAATCCCGGCAGATCCAAGCTGCCCTGCGCAAGCGATTTTGGGCACAACGTGTTGTTGCTGGGGAGTGAGATTTTCTCATTGTATCAGAAGGTGCAATTATATTAGCAACATGCTATTTAAGATCTATGTGCCAAATAACATGCTAGGTCCCTTGCATTTGAATATGAAAAAATGCTCAGGCATTTCCTTTAAGAAGGGAACTAAGGTGGGAAAGAAAGGCAGAATGCTTAAATTATAATAATTGTGATCCTGAATGATGACTGGTAATAATAAGGAGAAATTGCAATAGAAGCCTAGTTCATTTTTGGGGGGTATGAGTTAAATGAAAATACATTATCATCACAACTAAGTTGTAAGTAAGTTAAGTCTAACTCTGGATTATAAATGATCAGGAAAGGAGTGATATATCATATATATATATATATATATATATATATATATATATATATATATATATGTATGTATGTTATAGATGGACACAATACCTTTATTTGATTATTTATTTTTATGTGGTGCTGAAGATTGAACCCAGGGCCTTACATGTGCCAGGCAAGCACTGTAACACTGAGCCACAACCTCAGCCCCAAGGGCTGATTTTATAGAGAAGTACTGATGTCACATGATTCCTGGTTTCTAACATTGCTTAAATTGGAACACTAAAAATCCAAAACTGATGATGAATTTATGACTGTATATTTTATATTGATTGATGTTCAAAACATCTTAATGATTAACAAAAGATAAAGGAACATTCTGAGAAAAAATGACATGAGTCTGAGAAATGGTTATTCTTATCTATCTTGATACTTCAGTCAAAAGTCATACTTAATTTAGATTCTTTTTTGTTTCCAATTTCGTATTAAAATGGATATTCATATCCTGACTTCATTAATAAAGATGTATCCCTCTTCTCTAACTTCCCCAGGAGGAAAAATGAATTGGTGTGTTTTCTCCTGGGGCCAACTGTTTTTAGAGTCTTAAGCAAATGAAGACTTGTCCTGCTAGGTTCAAGGTTGGAGGAAAATGAAAGAGAGTGACTTAATTATCTGTAGTAATAAATAAACATTTAGTAGAACCAGCAAGTATTCAAATCTTCTTTAAGAAAGTTTTAAATGAATTTTTGAATGATAGTTCAAATAAACACTCAAAAAATATTTTTAAACGAGGTGTAGTGATGTTCACCTGTAAATCTCAGGTGCCTCGGAGGTTGTGGCATGAGGATTGCAAGTTCTAGGACAGCCTCTTGCAACTTAGAGAGACCCTGCTTCAAAATAAAATATGTAGCTTAGTGGTAAAGTGTTCCTGGATTCAGAATTCAGTACCACACAAAATATATATTTTAATATCTTTCTGATATATTTAGTGGGCATTAGAATCATATAGAAGACATAATAGTCCCATAGCTTACATCCTATGAATGAAAACCATACAACACCAACAATGTAGGGAACAGAACGTAATTATTGGGATAGGGTTTGGTTTGAATTGGTATATGAATGTAGAGGGAAGTAAAGCTTGTTAAGAACATTCAGGAAGACTGAAATATATAAACAAATTATGAAAATTTGGTTTCAATTCCAAATCATTTACCTACCTGTGTTCTAGTAAATATTTACAAGATAGAGGGGGTTAATTAAAAAAAATTGATCTTTGCTCTTAGTAAAAGAACATTTAATAAATATTAAACACACTAAAACTATTAAATGAAATTCTGTCTCTGAAACTGTTTTCCATCCTTTAAGGTCCAATTTGATCATTTTTTTTTGGTGAGTCTTTCTGGTCAGGCATCTCTTGACTTCTCCAAGCATGAGTGCAGAGATCTGGAGACCATTGCTCAACAATTCTTTAATTTTTTGAAAACTGGAGGCAGATTTCCTTTGTGAAACCCTTCACTTTTCTGCATGGTATGTTTGAGATCAATACTATGAACATTCCAGTAAATTCCTCCATTCATGCTTCATCTGAATACAATTTTCCCCTTCAGGTTTTACTCTAGAACTATGTAATATGAAAGTTTGTTTGTTTGTTTGTTTAATGTTTGTGTTGCAACACTGAAGAAATACCAAACTTTTTGTGGTAATCATATTTCCCAGATATGTAGAAGCTAATACTTATCTAAATTATGAGAATTTAGTATAAAACAAAATAAAAGTAAATGAGATATAGCTTCAGAAATAAGTAAAAATCTAATTGTGCTGAGTGCTTAATACTATCTTTAGGATCATAAAATCTTTACTTTGAATTTGGTATCTATTTTAGTATTTTGTTTTACATCTCTTTTTAATCTATAAATGAAATAATGAGGCAGATTAAGGGTATAGAATATTCTCTTTAGATGGATTGGACCATTTATTTAATTCTATTCTATAAAATGAAAAATTCAATATTATCAAAAAATTATTCCTTTCTTTTTTTTCTCATTAGTAACAATTCCCTCGACCTTTATTGTCAAACATATTTTTGGCTTACTAGTTTCAGCATATTCTATTATTAACAAACAAATTAACAAAAAAAGCTAAGCATAGTAATTTTAAAATTAAAAATCTCTTTGATATTAAGGCATAAATATTGTTTTATTAGTCTTACTCTACTCATGGTTAATATTTTTTTCCATAAATGAAACCACAATGTGTATATTGAAGGACTGTGGTTCTAAGACATGTATATTGTTAGATATAAACTTATATGCATTAACTCACTTTATGTCTAATTTAGCAAGCTTACTTGAATATTTATACAAATTACCTTTGTTCAAACCCCTGTTCCTCAGAGCTCTTCTCCTTTATTATCATATTACAGTTCCCTTGTTAATGAACAAATTAATGAATATTTGAAATATATCATTTTTGCATTTATATTAGTAGCTTTATGTTATGAAAATAATATTTTAACAAATTAAATTCAAACTGACTCGTTTTCCAGGTAAATATCTTGGAATTGGCATTTCCTGGGATATAAAGCAAGCCTGTCATGTTCCATAGTTCACACTCAACATTCAATAAAAAACCCAAAGCTATTTAACTCATGTCAAGATAGAAGAAGAGTGGTAGTGTTGGGTGCTATTTCTAAACAGAAAATTATTTATGCTAGAAAGCAACAGGAAAAAAAAGTGAATTCAGTGCCTTCAATTGATTTGGAAAGTAAATTCATGACAATAATAATAATAATAACTAAAGCAGTATTATCAAGTGCTTATTTTATTCCAACCATTCCATTATGACTTCATGGTTTTGATTGCACTTACCGTGTTGAATTTATTTTGTGTCATTTAAAAAAAATATCTTTCTTTCAGTACATGGTTTACCTTCATTTTCTTAATCATGTTTCTCAAAGGAAGGAATTAAAAAATATTTTATAAAGTCTAAATAATTACTTTTTTTTCATTTCATGATGTTAAGTTCTAATAAGTCACAATCAAGGACCAAAAATATTTTCTATGAGGCTATCTACTAGATGTTTTATGATTTTAAATTTTGTGTTTAGGTCTTGCTGTAATTACAATTAATTTTATATGGCATTAAACTAAAGCCATATAAACCATAAATGCCATTTATATAACATAAATTATGAAATATTATATGAATGTCTTGTTTAACCATCAAGATTTCTTAAAAAGATCAGTTTCACTCATTGAATTATCCTTATACTATTGTTGGATAAATCAGGCATATATACATTAATCTATATATGAACAGTCTAATTTGTTTCAATGATCCATGTAACTATCTTAATGTTAATAGTGTTCTGTCTTTATTCCTGTGGCATTATAATAAGACTTAAAATCACACACTGTAAAGTTGTTTCCAACTTCATCTTAAAAATATTATGATTCCTCTACATCCTTTGAAATTCAAATGAATTTTATACTCCTTATAAATTGTATCAATTGGTTAATTTATAATCAAACATTGATTAATGATTCAAAGTTTATAGCTGTTTATCATAACTCATCAGGAAATGAGTTTTATCTTAAACTTGAGTATCTTTTTCCTCTCATTCACCAAAAGAATTAAAATACATTCCTGTCCGATGTTTGCAATAACTGACTTTCTGTGGTTGCAATCATCTCTGAATTTTTTAAACTTTTTTTTTTTTTTTTTACCTGATGACCATGTTATTGCACATTCTTAAACAACCCCCTTCTCAGCCAATAAACACACATATTTTTGGAATGGAAGAACAATTGCTTCATTAGGGATATATGTATTTCTATATATGAATTTTATGAGAGAGAGAGAGAGAGAGAGAGAGAGAGAGAGAGAGAGAGAGAATGTTCACAAAATTCCACTGGGATCATTATCCAAAGCAATAAGTACTTCCATGAAAATTCAGTTGATGGAACTGCAGTGCCAGCCTCACCCAAGTTCTCCAGTCATAGGCATCAAGGTAAACCTAAACATTTGTGTGCTTGGGAATCTACCTAGGGTATAGATGAAGAATAAGATGCTAAGCATAAATATTATTTTATTGGTCTGCTTCTGGGTGACATTCATGTGCCCAAACATAAGACCACAAGGTTATATTGAGGGGGTACAGTTCCAAGACATGACTTATACATTGTTAGATATAAACTTAAACAGTATCAGGAGGATTTAGTGATTTACCAGGGATTAAAGAATCACATCCACATTCTTCCAAAATATGGCTTGAGCACATTCACTTTTATTCACAGTATCAAACACACTCTGACCCAGGTTCTTCTTTCCTGGGAAACTAAAACAGGTTCAAAGTATCTTTCTTTTCTTACAGTTCTTCCCTTTCAAGTCGTTCTCTAAACAGTAGTGGAAATAAACTTTCTGAATTGAAAACATAATCCTATCAGGAGTCTATTGATTTACTTAGGCTCATTACAACCTGATCCTTGCAAACTATATCCAGTCTTACCTCAGCCAGGACCTTTGTTCCACTAAGCTGAGTTTTTCTTTCAGTTGTGCTCTCCCACATGCATTAAAGCTAAGTCCCTTGGTCTCTCCTTTGACAAGAATTCTCCCTGTGTATTTCCTGATAACTTATTTCCCCATTTCATTCCAAACACTTGTGTCAACCTCTTCTTGTTAATACAATACCTTCAGGTTAATATAATACCTCATTAGAGAG